CCAATACTTCTAGAGGCAGATCCCAGATCCTTCATGTCAAACTCCTTATCGATTTCAGCATTCACCTTCATAACATCTTCGACACCGTTGCTTGCTATGAGGATGTCATCCACATAAAGCAACAAAATAACAAGTGAATTTCTAGGTCGAAATCTGATGTAAACACATTGGTCAAACTGGCTCCTAGTGAAACCAGTGTGTGCCATGAACTTGTTGAATATCCTATTCCATTGTTGAGAATATTGTTTCAGGCCATACAAGGACCTATTCAACTTGCACATATAGTCTTCCTTTCTCTTTTCTGCATACCCTTCAGGTTGCCTCATTAGGATTATTTCATCTAGATCACCATATAGGAAGGTTGTCTTCACATCCATCTATTCATATTCTAGGTTGAACTTTCTCACCATGGCTAACAACATTCTAATGGATATATGCTTTACAACATGTGAGAACACATCATTAAAGTTGACACCTTCTTTCTGAGTGAACCCCATAGTAATCAACATTGCCTTAAAACTCTTTGACATCACTTCTTCGATTCCTTCCTTAACCTTGAAGATCCACTTACAGCTGACTAACCTGGATCTTGCGGGTTTCTCGATCAGCTCCCAAGTGTTATTATCATGGAGAGATTTTATCTCATCATTCATGACTTTCAATCATTCAGTCTTATTTCGACTTCTCATAACTTCCTTATATCTCTAGGTTCTTCGTCAAAAACCTCACTTACAGAGATTAAGACATAAGCTATGAGATCTATATAACCAAGTCTCTGAGGTGGCTTGATGAATCTTCTTGACCTGTCTCTTGCCAGAAGGTAGCCATTATTAGTCTCTTCATCTTCATCAGCAACTTGAGACTCTTCTTTGAATTCATCTAGGTTATGCAATTCAGCATCACTATGCTCCACCTCAACAAGAATATCTTTCTGTTCCAACTCTTCTTCAAAGATCTTCTAACTTCGACCAATGTCATCAGTTTTCTTGAAATCCATCGCAACTTCATTGAAAACTACATCTTGAACTGTGATACACCTCCTATGACCTGGCTTTATGCACCACAGCTTATAAGCTTTGACTCTTTCTGGGTATCCAAGAAACATACATCTCAGAGCTCTAGGTTCACCCGTGTCTTGATCCAACATCTTAATCACACAATTCCTCAAACACGGCTTTGTTTGGAGTCATGTGTCAAGTACATCCTGAATCCATAATCCACTCATTGCTAGAGTCGCTTTTTGAAACCACCGGGACATCAAATGACTCATAACAATCTTTCACAATGGTTGCATTACCATTATTCTTTCCACCATGATTGTTCAGAAGATTAGGGTATACTTTTCTTGTATGACCCTCTTTCTTATAATAATATCGCATAATAGTAGGAACATTACCACCATAAGAATTTTGTAGAACTTTACACTTCTTCTTCTCAAACCTACCTTCTTCCTTCAAGAATTTCCCCTTAACGAATAAACCTTCACCAATAAAAGATGTCTTGTGATCCTTTTGTTCGTTCAAATCCTTATAGTACAAGGCAGATTGAACATCTTTAAAGGTCAACGACTCTCTTCCATACAAGATAGTTTCTTTGAAGTGAGCATGAGACTTAGATAAAGAGCACAACAACAGCAACATTTGATCTTCATCATCAATCTTGACCTCGATATTCTCAAGATCAAGAATCAACTTGTTGAACATATCCACCTACTCATCCAGGACTTTGTCTTCACTCATCTTGAATTAATACAAAACTTGCTTCAGGTAGAGACGATTAATCAACAATTTCATCATGTACAAACCTCTAAGTTCCGCCCACACACCCGCTACAGTTTTCTCTTTTGAAACATGCCAGAGAACCGTATCGCCAAGGCTCAATACAATGGCACTATGAGATTTTTCGACCATCGTTATCTTTTCTTTATCCGATAGGACAACACCCATCTTCTCTGATCCTTTCAACGCTTTTAACAAACCCTATTAAACAAGAAGAGCTTGCATCTTCAAGCACCACAAACCGAAATCATTCACACCGATGAATTTATCAATCTCATACTTTGTTGATGACATCTTCTTCTCTACACTCACCGCACAAAATTGTCGTGAATTGATATCGTAAAGAACAAACCAAAATATGAGAAAAAGATTGAGTTTCTTAGACAAACACATAAACCCTATTAGATTTTACAAAAGATAGAGAAGAAGAAAAAAGAAGAATAAGAATTAGTTAAAATTGTTTTACTATTCACTTACTTAATAAGGATTCAAAGATTACAAGTGAATACCAACAATTAACATCTCTCAGCGATCTGAGAAAACTAGCCTATTTATAGACTACTAAGCTAACTTAGACTACAAACTAACTTAACAATTAGGCTTACAACCAAGGTCCAATTTGACATGCTAACTTAAACACAAAGCTAACATATTTCGACAACATGCTTGAACAAGCTTCGACTACAACATGCACAACTCCTATTGAACCATGAAGCTACCCTTGTCGACACTAGAGTTCGATCCAAATACCACACTATCTTTTTTGAGAATGATGTGATGGAGATTTTTTAGGGCAGTGATCTTTGAGAGGAGTGTGATTGTCACCTCTGCCTCTAGAACCATGATGGGAGATTGGTGAGTCTGTGGATGATAGTGCTTTGTTATTAGGGATCCCTTTGGTTTTGTAAAACATCGTCGCCGAGAATGTCCTAACACATGACTCCGAGATTATTGTGATGTGCTACCTTCCATTATGTGTGACCTTGAGATGGAGCTATTTATTGATTTTCTTCTACTCGTATGAATCTATGAGCCTAAAATGTATGCATTTTGGTGTTGTACCAATTTGTAAATACTAGTGATCAGTTCATTCACTCCTTACATTCCAATTGTGGTCTAAAGTTCTTGAAGGCTCTGAAATATTTCTAGTCCAAGAGCTTGGGGTTGTGGTTGAGTTTGTTTAAAAGTTTAACCTTAAAATAATTTTTGAAAAAGTTGTCAGGACGATAAGATCTGAAAAGTGCTTCGATCGGTAGGTGGAGGAACTAGAGCCTAATGAGATGAGATGGTCAGAGAAGTTACTAGGACCGAATTGGCTTCCCTTACATGGGGAGGTAGAATTTCTTGTGTGAGAACAAGGATTGGTGTGATGGCTTATAGTGCAATGTAGGCATTGTGATATGCAGTTATTTAAGTTGACTTAGAAGCTACCATTATCGGTGGAGAGATTCGAAGGATATTAGATTGGGAGATTGAGAGGCTGTGATGGCGCAGTAGAAAAGATTTAACTAACGTGAAAATTTGTGATAATTAGAATACGATTCTCCCAAAAATGATGTCACTATTTCGAAGCGAAACAAAAGATTAATGACATGTAGATATAAAGTCCTAATGATATGGTGTTGCAAGTCTCTAATACGGTGGAGTGAGAGTGTGTCTGCAAGGTTATCACTCTAACACACATGTCAGTGAGGTCATATATGTAACTTGCAAGAGTGAATAACAAAAATTATGACACGTAAATGAACTTATTTATAATAGATGGTTAAAACTTTTTTTAGTTGATCTGACACAAAATGTGGAAAATCGTCAGATCGAATCTAATAAATAGTGATGAGTTGGTAGTCTAAATCTAATATACAATTCGTTGAAAAAGATATGTATGAGAACGTAAGAGTACACGATTTGATTTTTAGTGTTAGACTGCTTTACTGGCTCTGATCACTTAGTAAAACAAAAACCAAAATATATGATAGAATTTTTTTTTTAAAAAATAAGGTTAAATATGTTTATAGTTCTCCTAAATATCTCAAATTTCATTTTTAGTCCTTCAATACATTTTCTTTAAAAAATAGTTCTCCTAAAAAATTTCATCCACACTTTTCCCTCCTACAACTTAACGACGGATCTTACAATTTAGTGACATGATTAACGACGATTTATTATCTAACAATAGTTTTAACGACGGATCTTACAATTTAGTGACATGATTAACGACGATTTATTATCTAACAATAGTTTTAACGACAATTTTAATATTAGGGACCAAAAATGTGAATAAAAAATTTTAAATAGATTAAAATATTTTAAATAATTAAAAATTAAAATTAAAATTTTAAAATATTTAAGAAGAACACAAACATTTTAATCCAAAAAATAAAATAAAGATCAAGGAGAAATAGAGGAGATAAATAAATGAGTAAAAATTGTAATGACGGTCTCTTTATATAGTGAATGATAAAAGAGGAGACTTGACTTTAGAGTTTAAAACTGAATTCTATGCACAATAGCTTCAAGAAAGAAAAAAAAACAAATAATTTTAAATGATATATTTTTAATATGAATTATGTACAATAGAGTTGAAAGAAATTATTCACATTAAAATTAATACTATATTGTTGCCCTTTTTTTTTATTATTTTCTGTTTTCTTTCAAATACCTGACAAGTTACAAGTTGAGACACTTGTACCTACCAAAGTCATTGTTTAAAAAATGAGGATAATTGTAATAGACATTTGTCTAATGCAAATGAAACACCATTACATGCACTTTTTATTACTAAAGTCGTTGTTTAAGAAAATGAGGATAATTGTAATAGACACCGGACCTTTCAATTTGAGGACAAAATCATTACTTCGTGGTGACTGAAGACCAAAAGACAAAGGCGGATTAGTTAAAAATAACTGAACTAACTCTTGTGTTAACATGGAGTAATTAAGTTTGATTGTAAAATTATCTATCAAATTTTTATAGGGAGGAGAAAAATCCTGGTTTTACAACACATACTCATACCTCTGCAACACACAATCTGGTACAAATGTGTGCAGTTCTTTGCATGTTTGGAAAATTGGCAGTAGTCTTTCCAATGTTTTCAGGTTCAGTTTTCAGAAGATCTCTTTGTTACTTATCATTGAAAAGAGTGCTGCCGCAATTCCAACTACAGTCCAAGTACAAACCCTTAACCCTTTACAGAATGTCGTGAGATTATAGCCGATCAAGCCATTAGAGAGCTGCAGAAACAAGAAATGTTCGAATTCTTTGCAATAGCTCGGCTTTTACAGAATCAGGAACAGAGGCTGCAAAGAGAAGTTTGGTGCAAAACAAATAATTAAAGGGACAATACAGTTGTGCAGATTTGAATCTTGAGAGGCATAGTATTCCATTATGTAAGTGCTTCTTCAAAATTTAACAAAAGATTCATAAACAAATAAAATGGAGAATTCTGTGCATGGTTCTTTAGTAATGAGTTGCTTCAACGCGGTTAGCATCAGGTAAACAATATGCAGAAAGAAGTATATCAGTGAAGCAATTAATAATACCTCGACCCTTTGGAGTAATTGCGTGTATAAGTTCATCTAGAGTAACATTATTCCTTCCTTTCTTCTTCACAAAAGCTCTGGAAAAAAATAGATTCCAACTTTTAGAAGTCACACAAAATAGAGATGTGCCAAAATATGAAGAGGAAAAGGTGGAACCAAACAGAGAAACACAACAATAGGGGATGATATTAGCAACACCCTCTTAAATACATTTTTAATAATTGATTCATTTCATGAAAATCAATACTTTTTTGAAAAAATGTGATTAATTTACAAGACAGCTAAATTTACAATTAAAGAAAGGGTTGAAGCAATGTATAAAAAAGTATATTGCAAACATTTTTAGGAATTCATTTCAAGTATTCATGGTCATATTGAATATTGCTAAGTGGAAACTAAAGCTCATGCCACTGAACCTGGAGCTACATTCACTAAGCAGACACCAAGCCAAAAGTAATTCACTTATCGGTAATCCACTTGCCAAACAACACATGTTTAATTGAAAAAACACAGCATTATATTATTTGGCTCTACGCACTTGATACCAGATGGCATAGCATAGAGGGTGGCGGTAAGGCCGCTACATGAAGTCTAGGGGAGAATAGATCTGGTCAGGCAGACAACAGGAGAGAGAAGGTCCCGCCGGAGTCGGGACAGAGCCAGAGTCACAGGACAACAGAAGTGGCGTGGAGGAGAGGATGTGAAAGAAAAGAGACCTCAGACCCTAAACGCTTCAAAAAGACTAAAATGTCGGAAAAAAAATAAAGCTAAACGGATAAAACTTAAGGGCACTTTTGTCTTTTTGTGATAAAAATTAGAACATTTCTTGTTTTTCTGCTTATCTTTTCAATTTGGTTTGTCATTTCCACGATTCCTCCATTTCACACAGTGCTATGACCGCACCATAGATCCTTTCTGCCAAGCATTTTGCATAGCACTGAAACTCTACTACGCCATGCACCTCTGCCATTGCGGTTTCACCGTGCCAGTACAGTACAGCACAAACGGGCATGCCTTCCCCATTTAGGCATGCCCCACAAAAGCCTGCAAAAAAAAAAGGGGGGATGGGGCGGGCATAGTTGAAGGTACGGGCATAAAACCTTGTCCCGCGGTGCAAAAAATTGAGAGCAAGGCATGCCTGCGGGCACTGCACTGCACCTCTAATGCCTAAAGTTGCAATTTATGTTAACGCTCGCGTCCGAAAAAAAATAGGGCAGACCGGACACATTAGACAATGCGGGCCTAAAACCTTGGCCCACCCCATAAAAAAGTGCGGGCAAAACAGGCAATATCTGGCGGGCCGGCCCCATTTTGCCACCTTTAAACGCAATAATTACTTGAACATAATATACAGATGATACACTCATACTTTCATTTTTAAAGGGAAAAAATCAGTTTAGTTATTTGATATGGCAAACCATCACGTGGTCTCATTATACATCAACACACAAAAATGTCCTAACACCTTGCCTAGGTTTCACTATTACACCACATCCCTCCACTTTTGCAAGTGTATTTTCAAACAATGTTGGCAACTAGCGGCTATAGAGCATAGCAGAATTTGAGGAAACCGCTGTTTTTCAGCGATGCACAATTTACTGCAAAATGTCAATTAGCAGCATTCTAGTGTACCAGAACTAGAACAAGCCATTATTTTCCTTGATCCGTGATTGAAAATATTGTTTGAAAAATGAAAACTGATGTGCAACATGAAAAAGTGAAGGTCTTGCATTCCATACATGTCTAAAACTGATAATGTATGTCATTGCCCAATAAACTCATGAAATTATAAATATAACAAATAAACCTAAAACCCCCAAAAAAAATTCTAGCAAAACCCTAATACAATAGAAAATCTCAGAATAGAACAATAAAAATAAACAAAACCTGCAAATAGATTTCATTTCATCCTTCCAACCACAATCCACAAGTCTTTCCCTCAAAAGTTCCATCAACCGCTCCTTCTCTCCAGTCTCAATAAACTAACAAGCAAACCAAACATCAAAATTCATCTAAAAATAACAACTTTAACACAGTAACAAGTGAAAACTATCTTAATTACTCAAAACCCTGCAAACAGAAAGAAAAAAAACCTTGATATTGAGGAGTTCCTGAAACGTGGGTTCCCTTTCCGGGAGATTATCGGCAACATCTGGTGTTGGAGGTCGATTCACCGATGATTTTGGCTTCCTTGATATTTACCCAAAAAATAATCAAACGAATGAGAAAAATCGATTACGTGAAACAAAAATAGCAAAATGAATGAAACTTTTTGGGATTGTTTTGATTTGGGATGGTGAGTGCTCACATGTTTAGGGATTTTTGTTCAAGTTGCAGAGATTGAAAAGGGATTAGCTACGAGCTTAACAGGGTTGAACGGTGCGGGAGAAGCCAAATTTACTGTCGACTATGCCCTATTACGTCAATGTTCCAACTAGATTATTCTTTTCTTGTTTTTTTTCTTCTTACATATATCAAATTACTAATTAATCTTTGAGATACATTATGAATAAAATAGGAAGAAAAAAAATAATATATGACTTCTTTAAGTTATTTCATTATAATAAAGTTAGAAAAAAAACTTTTAACTTATGACTTATAGTTTTTCAATTTATTTTAATTAAAAAAATTCGTTTGATAACTGACATTTAACTTTTAGTTTATAATTTTTTAATTAATTTTTAGTATTTTTTCAAAATTATATAACTTTTTATTTCAATATATTTTTATTATTTTATATATATATATATATATATATATATATATATATATATATATATATATATATATTTACTATTAAAAAATTGATTTTAAAAGATTAAATTTAAAAAGATTTTGAAGAATGTTATAGAAATTTTTTATTATTATTTTTCTATTTTATTAACATTATTTTTATTTATTAAATATAAATTATATGATTAATTTAGAAATAGTGTTTATAATTCTCATGTTAGAAGAATCAATGAAATTAACAAAAGTGGAGAAATTTCAGAATATTATTACAATTTTATGGTAAAATATTAGATAATAAACTTATTTTTATTATTATTTTAGATTAATATAACTAAATTCAAAATTACAATGTTATTAGTTCACGTATTTTATTAAATTTTATTATAAATTTAAAAAATATATATATTTTATGAAAAAAAATGAGTTAATCAGACTAAGAATTGCAATTATTAGAATTATTTTTACTTTTATATTTTTATAAATGACTGTATGAAATACCCCGTTTCATGTATGATTTACGGGTTCTTTCATTCATTAAATTTTATTGTCAATATATCATACTAAATTATGATCCTATAACTTCTCCTGTTAAATTTTCCCACCAAAACTTTTCATCTAATTTAATTATAATAATTAATTAAATAATAATATATTAAATAACCTCTTATTAAACCATTACTCCATTATATTTCTTTTTCATTTTTTTACAAATCAATTAAATAATACTTTATCCACTAAACTATACACCACCTTAACCCACTCTCCATTTATTTATGGTAATAAATAAACTATAATAATTATTTATTTATATTATATCATGCTTAATTATCAGCTTAGAAATTCTTCCATCAAAATTTCTCCACTAAAAAATATAATAAATAATGTTTATAATAATTAATTTAAAAAATACTAATATTTATAAAATAATAATAATAATAATAATAATAATAATAATAATAATAATAATAATAATCAATTAAATATCACATCCCATCTTTTTAACTACATATTTAAATAAAAAAGCTCTGAAGTTTCCACTACTTCATCATCCACTAACAAAAATAACTACCTCACTCCACCTTCTTAAACTTATTATTTAAGTTCTTTCCATTAATTAAATAAATTATTAATTCTAAAAAAAATCTCATTACTTTAATTCTTCCAATTAAAAAGTTTGTGTTAAATTCCATATTATAGTTATTATCCTACTTTTTTTTTCTTTACTAATTTATTTTTTTATTTACTATCTTATTATGTGAAACTAAACTAAGGTAGGATGTTATTAGTTTCATATATAAGGATATATTAAATTAAATTCATACTGAAGGGAATGATCTACTTCTTAGTTTTGTTTCTTATTTATGGTTCAAGAGTTAAGACTGATTGAGCAATTCAGAGATATGAGTTTGCTTTGTGAAGAGACTCATAACAGTGTGAAGTTGGGTATGCTGAAGTTGACTAGTGGTATTCTCCAACAAATCAGAGAAGGTCAAAAACCTTATTTGAGATTGGTGGATCGTCTCACGTTAATTAATCAAGGTAACGAGAGTGATTTTCGGATCGATGAGAATGGTGTGATGAGGTTCAGAGATAGAGTGTGTGTTCCCGATGTGCCAGAAATCAAGAAGAGCATTCTTGAGGAAGGTCACAGAAGCGGATTAAGTGTTCATCCTGGTGCCACAAAGATGTATCAAGATTTGAACAATTTGTTTTGGTGGCCGGGTCTGAAGAAGGAAATTGCAGAGTTTGTGTATGCTTGTTTGACTTGTCAGAAGTCAAAGATTGAACATCAGAGACTGTCGGGTCTGATGCAACCGTTGAATATTCCCAAATAAAAATAGGACAACGTTTCTATGGATTTTGTGACAGGTTTATCAAAGACTTTGAAGGGGTATGATTCGATTTGGGTGATTGTTGATAGATTGACCAAATCAGCTCATTTTATACCGATGAGGATCAATTATTCGTTGCAGAAGCTTGCCGAAGTATATATTGATCAGATTGTGAAACTGCATGGTATTTCTTCGAGTATTGTGTCTGATAGAGACCCGAGATTTACATCGAGGTTCTGGGAGAGTTTGCAGACAACTTTGGATACTAAGTTGAGGTTGAGTTCTGCCTATCATCCGCAGACGGATGGACAGACAGAGAGAACTACCCAGTCCTTAGAGGATTTGCTGAGAGCTTGTGTGTTGGATCAAGTTGGATCGTGGGATAGTCAATTATCGCCGATTGAGTTTACCTACAACAACTGTTACCATTCTAGTATCGGAATGACACTGTATGAGGCTTTGTATGGTATGAGGTGTAGGACTTCTTTGTGTTGGCATGAGTCAAGCGAGAGTGTTCTACTCGAACCTGAGATTGTGCAAGAGACGACTGATCCGCTGTCTCGCACGAATCAAAAACGAGTAGTTTGAAAAACGGTAGTTTAGCGACAATGACTCGAGTCGTATCGCAAGGATTCTTGTAATGATTGACCAATAAAGCAACAGTTTATGGGGGGTTTGAATTTTGATTAAGAGAAAAAATACTGAAAATAAGTGATTATTAAAATAAGCTAAAACAGTTAATCTGCTGTTTTAGTTTCCCAACTTATCATCGATCCCAATAATTCCCAATTCCTAAGCGGATTCTATCCCCTTTTCGATTATAATAACAATCAAACAAGCGCAATTGATATTATATGAAACATATTCCTAATTTCTGAACTAAGCAAACTGATAAAATATAGTAACCGTGAATTAAGCAAACACGAGAAACATACGCGGATTAAGCAAACACGATTAGAGTATAAGAACATGCAATCATCGAAACAAATCAATCATCCCTAAGATAAATCGAATTAAGCAAACAAGATATCATAAAGAATAATTGAAAGGAAATAGATTTTATTGGAAATTAAAAGAACCTCAAAGTGTTGGCGGAAACCGATTACAGCAGATTAACGTGAAGGAATCAGTTCACCATAATTCGTACAAAGCTTCAACAATATTTTTCGTGAATAGTGAATGAGATACTAGGCTGTACGGCCAGACCTAGACTAAAGAGGGGACAAAAGAGAATTCAGGTCATAACCCAACTGGGTCGAAAACATAACTCAGACTCAAAACATGACCCAGAACTAAAACAAATTCCTAATGCTGTAACTTCAACGAATATTCTGGGAAATTGTGCTCCGAATCTGACTTCGACTCCAACATAAAAGTCGTAGCTCTCTCTCTTAGCTTTCCGGCGATTTTTAGAACGCCTCAAACGGATTCCCAGAACTTAAGTTATGATCATTTCCGTGCAGACTGCTAAAGCTGAAAAATAAAGTGCGAAAATCAAATTAAACCAAAAATAAAATAAAATATAAAAACATAATAAAACATAAAAATAATCAAAATAAAGTAAAGAAATGTCTAAGTAAAAATATAGGAGAATGTGCATAAATATGCACTGATCAACGACTGAAAAGATCAAGATGATCCAAGAAAAGATGAAAGCGTCGCAGAGTCGTCAGAAAAGTTACCATGATAAGAGGAGGAAAGCACTTGAATTCCAAGAGGGGGATCACGTGTTTTTGAGAGTTACGTTGGTAACTGGTGTTGGCCGAGCTTTGAAGTCTTGAAAGCTCACATCGTGTTTTGTTGGTCTGTATCAGATTTCGCAAAGGGTGGGGGAAGTAGCATATCAGATTGCTTTACCGCCATCGCTTGCGAATTTACATGATGTGTTTCATGTGTCTCGGTTGAGGAAGTACGTTCCAGATCTGTCGCATGTGATTCAGATGGATGATGTATAAGTGAGAAATGACTTGACTGTTGAGGCGTTGCTAGTTCGAATTGATGGATGAGAAGTGAAGCAATTGCGAGGTAAAGAGATTGCCTTAGTAAAGGTAGTTTGGGGAGGACCAACTAGAGAAAGTTGGACTTGGGAGCGTGAAGATCAGATGAGGGAGTCGTATCCGACTCTGTTTTCTTAAGGTAATTTTCGAGGGTGAAAATTCTTTTAAGTGGGAGAGAGTTGTAACACCTCAAATTTATTGAAATATTTATTTAATTTATTTAAATAAGAATATTCGCATTTTGGTAATTTTCGGTGGTTGTTATGGAATATTGAGAACTATGGCTTTTGGGTTATTTATTTAAATAATAGTATATAATATTAATATATTGGTATTATTATTAATTTAAATAAATATAAGTTAACTAAGGGCAAATTGGACAATTGAGGAGGAATTAGTGAGGGAAATATTGGAAAGCCCAATTTTAAGGCCTAAGGTTAGCTTTAACAAAAAGGAATTTTGATGGGATTAGGATTCATTTTTATTAGACCGTGAAAAGGAATTTAGGCCAGAGCTCTGAGGCAAAAGTTTCGAAAGGTTTTCTGAAAGTCAAAGAGAAGGCTTAGAGTCGGCAATTAAGGTATGGGGAGTTTTGCCTTCGTTGTTTTTAATGTATAATTTCAATGTATTTAAAGCCTATTTAAGGGTTTAAAGAGTTTGAGACTGATTTTGAGATAAAGGGAATTAGACCTTCGTGGCCAAATCCTATTTGTGAGGTTTTAACCGTATAGGGATTTATTTGGGTTAA